CTTGCCTCTAGTTTCTATAACTTCCAGGTAACACAACGTAACTTAAATAAAACTAATCTAATACATATACCTCGTTTATGAACATGATTTCTGCCTCAGTAACATCAGACAGATTTTTATCAGCTATGGCGGCTGTTTAACAACGAAGACAATGACTCCCATGATCCACTGCTGCTTCACGGCGTAATCAAACTATGTCTTTTCTTATTGTTTTTATGTCAGAGACCCCTGATTACAATTTTGAGGTTCATTTAGTTTAACATCCAAAATCCATGGAACAAACTCGCAGTGATCTTTCTGGCGTTCAAATGTTTTCTGGAGCCGCGAGCAGAAGCCCAGTGAAAACATTTCTTGTTGTTGAGGTTAATAAATACACACACAGAAATGTAAATTGTACGTGCAATCAAGACTTTCTACGACGTTTCTAACCCTTCTTTTAATTGGCTAATAGGTGAGAAGATGAATTTTGATTAAAATAAAATAAATTCGACTTTATTTGAACTGTTACTTATGGGCTGTGGCCAAAGTCGTCATGTTACGGTGCGTTTCAATTTCAGTTCACATGTTGAAAATGATTCATTTCATTAATTAATTATTAAGGAATAACAATCTTTACTATAACACTTCAATCCAAAAAAACATCAAATCTGAGTTTTTAATGCCCAAGAATTTTACCCTCTGCTCAATTTAATTCACCTATAATGGAAATATTACAAGATGCCATGATTTGAACCACCAGTTGAAACACTTCAACCGGTTAATAATGTAAAAGTGTCTTTAACATTTCATTCCTCTGTTGAGGCAGAAGTGAGGCGGCCCTCCTGCAGAGTAAACATGCAGACGTTAACACATGGATGTTCAGACCTAATGGCTCAAATTATTATTCAGCTGGAGAGGGAAAAAAGAAGCATGACAGAAGCGTCACGCCTGGCATCAACATTTAAATTCTTGTGTCTGTTACGCTTCACATCACCACAGAATGAATGCACTTATGAGAAACAAGATCAGACTGGAATCATGTGCACAGTTGCTACCTTCAGAGCCTTTTTTTTTTTTTTCAAAGCCGGACATGAGACCGGCTGGAGTGACCGCACAGATTCTCTCCAGAGGAACAATGCGAGCCTCTGATGAGGAATAAAGGCGGTATTGTCTCAGTGCCGCGATGATGAAGGGCAGAAGCGATTCCAGGTTTCACAGAGAAAGTCTCACAACAACACGGCCCCGTCCTGACGGCAGTAATTGCTGCGTAACGGCACACATGAATACCCCCAAATCAGCTCTCGGCCTCGTGCGCTCAGGCAAAGTGCACTACTCAGACAATCAGAGGCATACAATCTCAATCGCTCGTCCCCATGGCAACAGCAACTGTCGGTGTGATTGTATGGAAAGTGGCGTTTCTGATAACTTGTCACATGTAAAGACTGCCTTTCACTAGTGAGCAGAAGGACTGGGGCTGATGGCTAGTTTTTAAGGAGAGGATGATTATAGATTTGTGTCAATATCAGAGAAACATCATTTTGATAGTGATAATGCATGACTAGCTGATCCAATATGAAAATATAATGGATGAAGTAGAGATGAAGGATGCGGTGATGTAGTAATTGTGGCATCCTCAGCTAAAGCACTGGTCATAACATCACTTAAAGCAGCTGATATTTTTTATAATAATGAGGTATCAAATGACCAGGCCTGGGGAGCAACAGATTGCATGTAATGGAGTTATGTAATCAGGATACAAAAAAGATTTAGGGCTGCAGGTATGATTAAAAAAATCATAAAAAATATATATATTATGATTATTCTGAGAGATATCAGAAAGAAAAGAACAGAGAATTATTTATGCATCACAATTTTCACTTTAAAAACTATTAAAATGATGATGATGTGACATTTGTTGGGCATTGTACCAAACACACATGTTTTCTAACATCTGAAGAATGGCCTGGGCTTCTCTGCAGCACTACAGTAATTCATTATAATGATGTTTTATTACACATTTACCTTTAACAATGCAGCTACTGTGCAGTTTTTTTTTAAATTAAGATTACAGTTATATTTAATAGTAATGAGGATTTTTAGCAGGATTAAACATTTCAAACACATTTAAAAGTAAAGCATGCACACATTACATACACATAGAAGTAACTAATAACTTTATTTAAAAATAGGAGTGTGTACACATTCACAACTCTTCACAAGTCTAACAACAGCCACTTTAATCAGTCAAACCACAGCTAATCTTACAGTTGCCAGTTCATTATAATGGTATCGGTGCTTTCACTGGGTGGAAAGTTCCCCATTAAGAAAACACCAGAAAAGAGGAACAACATCACAGTCCAGTGCAAGTTCTGCCTTCCAGCTGTGAAAACACTCTATAGGCTACTGCCTGAATTTGCTTAATGAAAAGCAAGTTTCTATTTAAAAATACACTGAGCAGAGGACACATCTCTATTCTATTCTAAAGTTACTTTATTGTCTTTAAAAGTCATCTGATGTTTCTTTTCTCTTTTTTTGCACATTTGGTGTTGAAGTAGTCCAAAACTAACCAATTTATGTTACTTTAATGTTGTAATACTAATCAGATTAGATTAGACTACATTTATATATACATAATTAGTAATTGTATTGGACTATATGGTTAAAGTAACTCTCCCAACCCTGCAAATGACAATGAACCTACAGAGAATAAACACCTGAATCTGCAGCTCCCCTCGGCTTTACGGAGCTTTACAGTGAGCTTTTTCTCAGTTTGTAGCTCAGAAGCTTTAAACACCCACTGTACACTATCTACAAAGCACCAAACAACGGATGGACACAGTTAGAAGAGCCAGATATGTCCTTCAGGATTTGTTAGAGACCAAACCAGCTAAAAGATAGTGAATATAGGACTGTATTTATCAGGCTGGAGGTGTAAATAAGCAGCTGTTTGCTAACATGTTCACCATCTGAACTTAAAAGCTGGGGATATGTGTTCATAATTTGATTCTGCTGCCTCCTTGTGGCCAAAACAATCAATTGCAGGTTTAAGTTTTCTGGGTTTGCTTAACTTTAATGAAAGTGAATGCATTTTAGTGGCTGGTTGATGAGGTTGACAGCACTCTGAATGCAGTGAGGACTGGACACCTTTCTAGAGCAACGACGCTGTAAGAAGTATATCAGCAGTTCTTGTCCTGGATCAAGTTCTGCTGAATATGAAGCTTCGGTTGTCCAAGTTAGCCAAATCAAGCTATTATCTTCTAAAGTTACAGTCTTTTTAGTAAATAAGTCTATCTTTGTGGTTCCCCCAAAGTGTTTTATATATATATATATATATATATATATATATATATACTGTACATAATTATTTTTTTAACAAGTGTATACTACTAAGCCTGTATGATTGCTATCATTGTTGTATGGCCTGGCTCAGGTTAAACCCTTTTTAAACCCAGATCTGGTAGCACCATAGTTTCTAATATATCCATATCCAACTGTATGACCGTAGCTGGCCTGATTCTGGCCCTATGTTGGACAGTGTGTGTATTAATGAGGTGACTTTGTTAAGGTTTAGTCGAACTTAGGGCCAGAACAGCTGTATGACCATGGTCATACCGCTGGCAATGTGGTTACCAGATCTGGACCACCAACTGTGGACGGCCATTCATTGCTGCATGTGGGCCGAGTGTAAATGGGTGGACCGTCAGCGGGTCGGACCAATATTGCTTTGTGGGTAAATGTAAATAGAAACGTTCCACAGGGCACCTTTAAGAAAAATAATTAGGGCTGCAAAGTGTGAGAAATTTTACATGAACTGTGCCAACAGGATACCAGAGCGATTGGACTGATGTCAAAATGATACTTTTTTAAATCAATGTGTGATGTTTTAATTAGGAAATGTCTAATAATTGTAGTCGTGATTAAAAATATCACCAAGCATTCAGTGCACATTTAAGATAATTGTAGTCCGACAGCAGGTTGATTGTTGGCCAGTAATTAGTAAGTATTGAAAGGGTTCCCACGTGTCCTTGAAAACCTGAAAGTTTTTCAGTCATGGAAACACCTGGAAATTGATTAAAATGACCAAATATGCCATACATAATGTTCTGTGATGTGGTTAAAGGAAAATTCAGAAATATCAAAGATCAAGTGTGGTAACAACAGCCAAGCATGCCACGAAAGCGAGCTAACACCCTAACGTCCCTTTTTTTCAAATGGTGCTGTCCTGCATTATCAAGAAAAACCTCTGAAAAATGTCCTGGAAAGTCCTGTAAAACTTCTTTCTTAAAAAGAGTCTGTAATCAATAGAGAATGAGTGAAATAAGAGACCCTTGAACAGAAAGTGACAGATTATTGATGATCATCAGCGTGTGTTTTTCCTCCAGGATGACTGAGGTGATGAACTCTCTGGAGCCGGGTACGGAGGACTTCAGCGCGGGTGGAGCAGGAGCAGATCAGGGCGCAGTATCCTTCCAGGTGTGTGTGAATGTGTGTGTGTGTGTTTAGATTATTTCGAACCAGTCCTGTTTTATTGGAGTGGAGAGCACACAGCAGTGAGTCACAGGTGTGATGAGCAAGAGTTAAATGTGGGCTGACGTGACTAAGGTCATTAGTTGGACTCAGTCCCGCTGTGAGTAAATGGTATGTGTCTTATCCAGCTGTGCTAAAAGCACCAGTGAGTTATCATCTACTACTGTGAGATTTATTTTCTAAACATTTAGTGAAGTGTAAAAAGGGATCACTCAAGCTTTATTTCGTAGTGCCAGGTAGATATTTTGTTTGATAAATTCTCTTTGAAGTTGTGTTCTTACATTATCCCAAATGTTTCCAACAATGTTCAAACTAATTCAACATTGTGCATGTGTTGCATGCATAAATTTACTTTTTATCTCTTATTTTACAGTCCACTGTTTAGATCTTGGTAGTTTTTAACTCTACATTTTAACCAGATGAAGGATTTTAGTCATTGGATGTCTGGATCTTAAGTTATGGTCCTTTGTCTGCCCAACAGCGTG